AAAGTAGCTATTGATAATCTTCTGAATTTCCACTGGGTCTGTGGTAATTACACCCTTTTCTTTTTTCTTTTTTTTCCAAAATTTTATTGATAAACAGCAGTGAGACAGTTTCAAATCAAATCGGAAGTACAGTTTCAACAAATAACACAATGCATATATTCTTCTTAGTGGTTAATTGCTGTACAAGATGCGGACTTGAGATCCTATTTACAAACACCATTAGAACAAGTCATTCTATTCATGAAGAGAATGTAACTATATATCTATCCTAACCACTTTGAATACACAGATACAAAATGGACATTCGAAAGGTTTATTTAGGTCACAGTTACTGGAAGTTTCAGTACACACAAAGCTGACTCCAAGGCAGAGCGGAACATGACAGAGGGCCACCTTTCATGACAGCAGCAAAGAACAGAGAGCAAAAGGGAGGAGTAACAGCAAAAATGGCAACAGAGAGGAAGTCTGATTCTCTTAAATTGCATTCAGGATGTCAGCCTCAGGCTGAGAATAGTATTCATACCAATAATTCCAGCAGCACTCACATCCAAAAGTCAGCCCCATGATTGCATGAGGCTTTGGGGGGACAAACACATCCAAAATATAACAAAAATGTACCAATAAACTTAATTATATAAATATAAATAGGAAAGATATTTTCATCTGTCATGTTCCCACCTTTAATTCTCAACTTTAGTCACTGTTGGAAGAACAACAACTACTGAGAATCCACGATCTGGTTTTCCAGAAAAAAGAAGTCCCTGCTGCCAAATTCAACACTCTAATCTTTTGCTATCATATTAACCCTGGTTTTTTTTTCAACGTTTGACACCATGAAGATTTTCTTCATTACAATACTTCTCCTTCTAATTTCTAGCATAATACGCTGTCTTGATTTAGCCCCATCCTTGGAGTCTCTTCAGAATGCCCATCTCTTTGTTTTTGCGGCTGGTATCAAAATGTCACTGTCTCCTAAGATCTCCCATTAATCTTTATTTATTTATTTATTTATTTGTGTGTGTGTGTGTGTGTGTGTGTGTGGCCAGCTCAGCCCACCAGGGGGCGGGGCTGGCTGGCATGTGGTGCTGGGGGATTGAACCGCGGTCCCTGTGCTTTGCTAAGCTTGTTCTAAGTAGGTGCTTTAGACCACTGAGCCATCTCACCAGCCCTCCCATTAATCTTTTGCTCATCTTTCATGATTTTTGTTGAGTGTGTGTCTTATGCTGCCCTCAATGTACAGTGTTATTTTCTACCATTCAAGATCTGTACTTTTCCATTTGTGTATATCTCCAACAAAACATCCCACAAATATTTTGCACACATACTCTCATAATTGAATTCTTCATTTTTCAGAAACCAGTTCAGATTTTTCATATTCGCTTTTGCAGCAATGGTCCCTTTGACCAAATAGAAACTGAAACAAAACAGAAAACTGACAATCGCCTAAATCCTGCTTCTCCTGCATCCTAGCTGACAAAGTATGTCATTGCTATTATCCTTATTCTAATTGAGACTTCAGTCATCTGTGGTCTGAACGTTTATCCTCCAGTTTCATTCTATTCTAATTCATAAATATATGCATCCTAGTCTAGCTTTGAAGCATATACTTAAAATGGAAATAAAATTATTTTATATGTTTAACACTCCCAATTTCCTAAAGCAATTTTCAACCTTCAGATCCTAGACAATTCACTAATGGGCTAACAAAACAATTCAGATGACTGAGTCCACATTTTTTTTTTCAAATGATACAAGAAAATTACGTACAATGCAAGTAGGAAAAATGCTGGTCTGTGAAACTTTCCTTCTGATGATACATACATTTGTGTGTGTGTGTGTGTGTGTGTGTGTGTGTATTGTGGTTAGGACGGAAATGCATTTATTGCTACTATTACTATGAACCCTATTGAAAGGCCACTTTGCTTTATGGGTTAATGTCTAAATTCGCTTGCACATGCATGTTCCTCATTAATGTGACTCACAATTGTCTTACTTGCTTCATCTCCAATGTTCCCCATAATGGAGAACCACATTCACAGGCTTTAGATGATCCAGTTTCATGCTTCTGAATATACTGGTTTGGCACTCTTAAATACATCTCTCCTCACTCCACAGAGGATGAGGAAATCCCATCCATCCATCACTAATATTTATCTCACAGGTCATTCTCATTGGGTAATCTGAAGTCTATCCTGCTTTCTACCTTCAAGCAAAACTGATCACCCTTCTTTCTTTGTGACAACTCAAGACTTCATATATATATA